GTACATCAAGACTGTTTACGAGTCATTAGATCACACCATGTGGAGCGACGTTTTGTCCTGGAACGAGCTACACGAAGGGTCAAAGATGGCCATGTTCACAGAGATGGGTGAAGTTCTGGCTATCAAAATTAATGGTGATGGACCACAGGACTCTATTGATATCCCTGAAAAGTTGTACTTGGAAAAGTACCAAACAAACCGCAAAGATGAGGCTCGGCGTATCCAGATGTCATGGTGCGACACCAAGAATGCCATCATGCAAATCGCAAAAGAAGAACAGCAGCTATTCGAGTGGCGCAATGATTGGGACCATCAAATGATGGACAAAAAACAAATGATAGAAAAGGCTAGGAATCAGTGGCAGGTATATAGCGACTACCTGCTCGGGCTGGGCAAGTTTCGAGGCATGGTGGCATCTGGCTTTGATACGGACAGTTACCCAGACTACCGAATGGCTCCTTGTGAGCTGAGCGAGAGCGAAAGTAGCGCATTGGGGACAGTCGAGGAGGTGTTGCAGACGCTTCTCCGCATGCTCACTGATATTGATAAGAGGTTAAGTTGTAAGTTTGTTTGTGAATTGTGGGTGTTGGAATGTTGTTTGCTGACGTGTGTAGCCCTCAACTCACAGATGGAACAAATCATGTCCAAGCAAAGGTTCCTTGGTCGGCTTCTCACGCAACCGGAGAAGCAAAATAGACCACGGCCTATGACGTGTAAAGAATTTCTTCTCCGGGGAGTGGTAACACCGTCAGACGTTACCTATGTCTGCCAACGAGCTGAACCGGATCTGATAGAATTGGGGGAGCAGCCCAAACAGTTGGACCAGTGGTGGCGGTTGGCCTACGCCCCGAATGGGGAGCAACCAGTACAGGCTGAGGTATGACGCTTTGCCCGTTAGCTAGACACGCCTTGTGCTGACCAGATGCCTTGCAGAAAGTAGAAATTGAACGTGTGCTACGGGATGTCTGGCAAGAAACCAAGACACCATTAATGGTTTACGCCACTGAGACAGCCTTGAATGCTGTACGAGCGCCTTTGACAGCACCACTACAACGGTTCGCAACGGCTGAAAATAAGGCGTTCCGCCAAGAACTTCATCATGAAGCCACCCAAGCGGCAGACGCAGAAGCTGGCGAAGGTAAGAAAACGCCAGGATCAGGGCCGATAGATCCCATTTCACCATCCAAGAGAAAGCATCGGGCAGATAGCGTTGATTCCATGGATAGCAATCGCGCATCGATAGGAAGTGATGATGCCCAAAACGGATTTGACAATCCATTTGAGGATGGACAGACGTCAACAGCCACTATGACAGCATCAGGCACGCCTGTTACCACGACAGCTAATGAGACGCACCCGGACTTGGACACGGGAACAACAGAAGTGAGGATGGTGGCAGCGGCATCAACTGTGGAACAGTGACGGATGATGAACGAGGGGTGAGGTCAAACACATGACGACCAATGAGGAGCCCCCCCACAAGGTGATAGATACTTCTAGAAACTTCCATTACCCAAGGTAGTATACCCAGCGATACGAGACACTCTACAGGATACATGATAGCGTTAAAGAATTCAATTCATTGATGGCATTGGAAAGGGTAAAATTATGCGCCATGGTTGTTTTTTTCAAACCATTCATGATGGGAGCTTATTTCACGGTACTGTCTAAGAAGTGTATTTTAGTGTTGTCATGAGTCGTAGCCTGCATGGTGCAGCGCAGCATGTCAATGAGCTGACTGTTGCTCCATGAGTGTACGGAGTACCAGCCGTAGCAAATACCGATAGGTTATCCGCGTAGTACATCATGCATTGTACAGATCGTGTGAGTACCTAGGTACTGTGTGCAGTACCCCGCCTCGCCTTCCCATTCGTAGTTTGTTCCAGCTGCACCGAAGCACCGCCATTCATGTACGGGTGTCCGTCCGTGGCAGCGACTTGTACAAAGGCAGAACCCGTGCCTGAACTCTGCGTCTATTGTCGTGTCTGCGCACTATTAGCTGTCTACTTGGTCTAGTTTGGGTTCGTACATACAATGGCAAAATAACTTATGTATCCAGGTACTTGGCTCAAGCTCCAGGACGGTCAGCTAATATTTCCCCACTTTGCGTCATAGTCAGAGCCTGTTCAGAAGCTTTGTTGGTCAACTGGTGGCTTCGGGCATGGAAATCTGCCGCTGCCGCTACCGCCGCTGGTCGCTGAAATGCGGATACACCTGAAAGAAGCTCCCAGAAGGCTCCCCCACTCTCTTCCCACTCTTCCTCCCAGGTGCCACTGTGCCAGGCCGCTTCATTCTCGCTCCCGCAACCAACTTCTCCCTTTCAACCAAGTCGTGCATCTCCTTTCTTCTCCCTTCTATTCTGCTCAGAGACACTGAGGTAGGAATTTGACGAATCAAAAGCAATCAACTCGCATCCAAAAAAACAAGAGAAGAAATCCTACGATAACAATATCTGGTGGCATGTGGTACAAAGTCTAAAGTCTTAAAGAAGAACCCAGAGCAACGCCATTGATCGACACGCAACATGGTCAAGGAAACGAAGCTTTACGATACCTTGGTAGTCAAGCCAGAGGCTACTCAAGACGAGATTAAAAAGGCTTATAGGTATGCATCATTTCGTTCTGGTGATTCCGGGCTTCACGTTGCCAACGGATTGTCGGTGTGCTTCAATTGAGCTTGGCGCTCGATCTGGTGACATACCAGTGGCAACACCATTGGTGACGAAGCTCGATCTCTATTTTCTCTGCATCAATCGAATAATAAACCTGCTAACACATCTCTACAGAAAAGTAGCCTTGAAATGGCATCCCGACAAAAATAAGGGCAGCCCCGATGCGGCGGAAAAGTTCAAGGAGTGCTCACAAGCCTACGAGATCCTTTCGGACCCCGAGAAGCGTAAGGTCTATGACCAATATGGTCTCGAATTCCTTCTGAGGGGAGGAGGTGCCCCTCCTCCCGAAGGTGCTGGGGGCTTCCCTGGCGGCCCTGGCGGCATGCCTGGTGGAGGCTTTGGCGGATTCGATTTTGGAAGCGGAGGTATGCCTGGTGGAGGCACTCGGACTTTCCACTTCAGCACGGGCGGCGGCCCCGGCGACGGATTCAACTTCAACAATCCAGAAGACATCTTCGCTGAATTTATGCGGCAACAGAGCGGGGGCATGCACGGAGACGAGGACATGCCGGGTATCTTCTCGTCGTTTGGCAGCGGCGGCGGTAGCCGTTCCGGCCGCACAAGAATGAGATCGTCGGGTTTTGGTGAAGCACGACAACGTGAGCATACACCAGAAATTTCGACAGTGGAGCGGCCTCTACCATTGTCCTTGGAAGAGTTGTATAATGGAGTCACCAAAAAGATGAAGATTAAGCGCAAGACGTTCGACGAGACCGGCAAGCGGGTCCAGACAGACCAGATTTTGGAAGTTCCCATCAAGCCGGGCCTGAAGAAGGGTTCGAAAATCAAGTTCAACGGCGTGGGAGATCAGGTCGAAGGAGGTCGACAAGATTTACATTTCATCGTGGAGGAGGTAAGAACACTTTCCTTTCCAATCACATTTCTGCGACGGTTAATCACTAACTGTTTGATAGAAGGAGCATGTCCTCTTCAAGCGAGAAGATAACGACCTTATACACACCGTGGTTCTGGACCTCAAGGAAGCCCTCACTGGGTGGAAGAGAACCGTCACCACCATCGAAGGCAAGCAACTCAACCTGGACAAGGGTGGGCCGACGCAACCTGGAAGCGAAGATCGGTACCCCGGCCTGGGCATGCCCATCTCCAAGAAGCCCGGTCAGCGGGGTGACTTTGTGATCAGGTACAAGGTCAACTTCCCTTCGAGTTTGACGGCGGCTCAGAAGCAGCAGTTGAGGGAAATTTTGTAAGGAGCAGTGGGCGATGACTATGAAGCGGAAGCGTGTTTGGAAACCAGCGGGCTGTAGTGTTATACTGCTGAGCGGTTTTGACGATTATGACGACACAAGATGCAGAAAAAAAAATACTGTGGGATATGTGGCGTTATAAGGATTGGTATACTTTAATGTATTTTTTATTTGTTGGCCAAGTCTGCATTTCAGGGTCGCATGCATAGCAGGATTGCATTTGGGCAAGTCACCTGTACGACGGTAGATAATAATCAAGGTTCTTGGCATGCATTGTAAGTGAGATTGCGAGGACCGATTCGACTGCAAGAAACACTGATGGTGAGTGACAGATGATTCTGGTGCGAACCCCAGAACGGGCCGATTTGTTGAAGAATGCGGGTGATTTCCTGATTGTTGACCCACCAGGCTGCATACCGATACGATAATAAAATGTGCGTTTATCGCTTCTAGACAGCGAGTTATGATGCCAAATTTGATGCACCATATGTCGAAAACAAGAGACAACCAGGTGAGAACGCTCATCATAGAATGCCGACACGGGAAGGGCCGGTAATAATACCTGAAGACACCCGCGCAACAATGGACAAGGGTCAATCGTCGATGACGCCAGGGGCGGCGGGCGAGGATGGAGGGGGCGGGGTGCTGATGTTTCCCCTCCAATCGCGCCAGGGCCAATCTGGCAACCAGCTGGATCTCGGGTCGCCTTGGCTTGCGTGTGCTACGGATAACAACGCCTGGCTGAAATTGAGGTATTTTCGTGCACGTGTACAAAGTTGACAACCCGGCTTGGCTAGAATCTACCTGCTTCAAGCTGAGTGCCACGTTGTATGTGACCACGGCTTGTGATGTTGGGCAGGAGTGACAGGAGGCTGGCTTGCCTTGGTTGAACAAGATCCCCACCCTTTCTCCCCCCTTGGGATGGTAGCCAACTTGAGTCTGTAAAATAAAACTACTGCTACTTGCTCTGTGCTGTGGCCGATTTTCATCTTTCGCCGTGCTTTTCCAGCGCATTGTGGTCTACTTTTTTTTGTTTTTTTCATCCTCTGGCCCCGATTGTTTCATCTTGCTTCGGCAAACAGATTTTTTGTACTCGAGACTTTAGCGTGCAAATATCACCCAAAATGTCCAAGGTGTGCTCCCTCAGCCCGGGCGCCTCTCCCAAATACAAATGCTAATTTGCAGATCAACACCCTCCTCTTCGACTGTGACAACACCCTCGTCCTCTCGGAGGAACTCGCCTTCGAAGCATGTGCCGGCCTCATCAACCAGATCTGCGCGGAGCGCGGCATCAAGAAGGAGTTCACCGGCGAATCTCTCATTGTAGAGTTTGTTGGCCAGAACTTCCGCGGCATGCTGACCACTCTCCAGAAGGAGAATGGTATTGAAATCGCTCCAGATGACATGGAGAAGTACGTCCGTATGGAGGAGGATGCCGTCATTGCCAAGCTCAAGGCCTCGCTGCGGCCATGCCCTGGCGTGGATGAGCAGCTGGAGAAGCTGGCTGCCTCCAAGAAGTACCTCCTTGCAGTCGTTTCGTCTTCTGCATTTCGTCGTGTCAAGGCATCTGTGGACAAGGTTGGCCAGGACAAGTACTTTAAGAACGAAAAGGGCGAGGATCTGATTTACTCTGCCGCTACAAGCCTGGAGAAGCCTACGAGCAAGCCTGACCCGGCTATCTATCTGCACGCGTTGAAGACGCTGGGCAAGACGGCTGGGGAGGCTGTGGCGATTGAGGATAGCAAGAGCGGTACGCTGAGTGCTACAAGGGCTGGCATCAAGACGATTGGGTACGTTGGGCCGTATGCGGATGATAAGAAGGCCGAGATGGAGAAGGTCTTGACTGATGCGGGCGCGGTGATTATTATGCGGGACTGGAAGGAATTCCCGGCCGCTCTGGAAAAAATCGAGTCTGGGGCTCTGTAAGCATAGAGGTGGTATTTGGAATGCGGCGTGTTGGCCGGCCTGCTGAGATATTACACACGCCCTTGACTTTGGAGCTGAAGAATAGTTTAGGTCAATGATGGCTGGGCCATGTGCCTGGCCAATTTTACGTCTGGTACAAATCAAATGTAATTCACATCATGTTCACGCCTAGCAGCCGCGCAGTCGTGTTCATTTGATGCATCATTTCGTCCAATCCATCAAGAAACTATTCACGCTCTGTAGCGTCTGTCTACTAGGATTCGCCCCTGGGTAGGCCGTCATGATTCTTGCCAGTCTCATCTTGACCAGTGTTTTTGTGAACCTGGCAGTCTCGTCCGGCACGCGGAACTGTCCCTCGTCATCGAACAAGTAGCACGACAGAGCGAGCGCCGCGCCCACAGAGGTATCCTTGCCCGACTCGCAAGCTACCGTCACCCTGGCCTGCGGATCCCTCTGCAGGCACGCCGACGCAAAGTCGCATATGTACGGCAGCGCGGTCCTCAGGTTCCTGCTGGCCGTCTTGTGCCTGCCCAGCCCGACCTCCATGGACGCAGCGGACTTGGCCCACTGGTCCTTGGGCGTGGTCGCGCTCGTCAGCGAGATGCAGCAGCCGGCGCCTGGCGGCGGGGGCAGCGCGCACACGGATATCTGCGGCGTCAGGCGGGTCGTCGGGTTGTTGTCGGGCGCGGATGCCGGCGTCGCCTGTGCCGCCGGGGACGGGGACAGGGACGCGATGAGGCCCGGCAGCTCTGGCTCCGGCGTGGACAGGAGGATGTCCCGGTTGGCCCAGAAGGCGGCGGGCGTCAGGCCGTGCGCCCAGTTTTCCGTGTCGTCGGCCGCGCCTTGGATGTAGCCGTTGGAGTCGATCTCGCTGGACGACGTGTTGCGGCGGGAGGCGGTGAGGCAAATCACCGGCCTGTAGGAGGCGTATATGGTGCCGGGGGCTGTTTGGTCTTGGGCCTCTGGGGAGGGCTCGGGGGGCAGGGCGTGCGTTTCGGGGCCGAGCGCCGAGTCTTGCGTGACCCAGAATGGGCGCAGCGGTTTCGTTATCTTGGGCAGATCCTGGAGGTGGAGGGCTTTGAAGGAGGCGACGAACTGCGGGACGAGGGCGGTGATTTGGGCGTGCGTGGTGGGCAGGAGGTGTGGCGGGAGGAAGAGCTGGGAGGAGCGCGGGTGCGAGGGCAGCAGGACGGTGTTGAGGACGGTGCACCAGATTGGAATTGTGGTCGAGAGGGCGTCGGGCATTCCTGGTGTTGTTGTTAGATGGAGGATGTGGTGAGATTGGGATGGTGGTGGTGGTTGTGTGTACGCTTGCCCCGTCTCGTAGAATCGACAATGATTATCCTGACCAGATTAGCTTGGCTTGTCTGGGGAAAGGGGCAATGAGATGGTGTAGCGTATCCATTACCCGTCGTGCTTCTCAATCATGTCGAGTAGATGGAGGTTGAGCCTCCGGGTGCTAAACTTCCACGCCCGCTCATGGCCATCGGTGCTCTTGAAGTACGCAGAGGCGTACTTGTCCCCGGGCGGGATGTACCAGCTTCCGCAGCGTTCGTTGGCAACCAAGGGGCGCGGGGCTCGTTCCTGGGTTTCCTGGTTCGCGTTATCATTTGACGGCGGCTGCTTGAGTGCCTGGGCGGCTTGGTGGACGAATTCGGCGTCGGAGAGGATGGACGTGAGGCGGTTGTGGATGCTGAGGGTGGAGCGTTTGAGGGACGTGAGGAGTGTGGACAGGGATGGCTGCGAGGGGAATACTATGTCGTTTATGTTTATGGTGTTGGGGTTCGTCATGGTGGTTGATGGGCGTGGAGTTTGTGAGTCTTGACTCGGTCTCTCGAGGTTGAAATTTCGTGGTTGAATTTGGATCCACAATTTCATCACTTACACACCCCAGCTCATGCTTGGGGTTTTTTTTTTTGATGCCATCATGATGTGAACCAGAATAGGGAGTATATATATTTTTGATAAAGAAAAATTAGCTAGCAGCTACATGCTACATCAGCTTCCAAGTATTTCCCTCGACAACGATGGCAATTTCCCTCCCCTCGTCGATACTCCGCCTTCCAGCCTCCAGAATGGCCGTCGTGGCAATCGTGTTGCCGAGTGTCGGTAAGCCCTTTGAATCCAAATCCTCGGGCTTCAGCCGTCCCTCATTGACGGCCGTGCACCCGTCCACAAACTTCTCGAGCGAAATGTACCCATAGCCGGTCTGGCCGTTGAAGTTGCCGTCCTCGTCGGGCGCATAGCGCATGTAGAAAGGGTTGAACCACTGAATCTGACCGGCGGCGTCGTCGGCAACGTCGTAGCCGCGGTGAGCCTGGTCTACGCGGATCTCGCCATTAGATGCCAGATAGTGAAAGTACTGGTTTGTGTGGACGCCAGCACGCTCGGGTGCCGTCCACGAAGACGTGTACACGGCGACAGCGCGCTTGGACGGGTCGCCCGTCTTGGCCCAGGTGACGAGCAGGGAGATGGTGTCTTCTGTCTCGGCGACGCAGCCCAAGTCTGTGGCCACGCCCTTGGACGACGAGGCCGACACCTTGACGGGCAGATAGCCCAGCTGCTGGACCATGGAGTCGCAGATATCGATGTGGTGGCTGTTGAGGTAGTACGAGATGTCCGACTCCCGTCCCGCCCACGACTTGAACGTCTCGAGCTGGTACTTGGGCTGCGACATGTAGCTGTAGAAGTAGTTGAAGTCGCCGAGCGTCTTGGCCTTGAACCGGGCGTCCGAGTAGGCCGGGTCGAAGCGCTTGTGGTGCTCGACAAAGACGTAGACGCCCTTTTCGCGGGCGCGCCGCAACAGGTCCTGGTGATGGGAGAGCTCCTTGACGGCGGGCTTGGTGAGAAGCACATGGATGCCGCGCTCGATGGCGTACAGCGCAATGGGATAGTGCGTCGGGTCGGGGGTGAATACGGTGATGGCGTCGCCGGGGGAGAGACGGTCAATGGCCGTCTTGTAGGCGTCTGGGTCCTTTTGGTCGTTGGCCGGGAAGCTGTCGAAGGAGGTGTCGAGCCCGTTGTAGACTTGGGTGATATTTTTGTCCAAGTGCTGGCCTGGATGTTGTCACATGAGTTTCCAGAACTTGAGGAAGATGAAGTCTTGTATAAAAATGAGACGTACGAATGGCGGGAAACTTGGAGCCGTTGACGCCAACCATGCCCAGCTTGTCGACTTTGCCGCGACGACGCAAATCAAACAGCGTGAGGCCTACGACGCCAACTTTCTTGTCCGAACCTGATGCTCCTGTGCCCACAAAGCCCGTAGTGTATTCGCCAGTGCCAATCTAGCCTTGTAAGCTGGGGAGGGGTTTCCAATGAGGGCTGGGAAAAGTGTTGTCGTACCATTAAAACATTTGGAGGTGCCATTTTGAAGATTGTCAGCTGTTGGGAGGGGGAGGGACGTGGTATCTTGAAACCGGCAAAATAAAATATAAAGGCAACAAACGAGCAGCTGCTAGTGAGGGAAAATAGCAAAATGCGAAGTAGATGGATGAACTGGCAGCGCCGTGTTGAAGACTGCGACCAAGTACGAGTAGGATGTGCGAGCGTTGAGACTTGAGAGTCTGCGACACTGTGGAGCTATGCACTTTACCCCAGCTTAAGCTACCCGATGGCTAATGAGTGAACGCGGGGCATTGACCAGCGGCAACAGCTCTGACGTGCCGCTCATCGCGGCAATTGACTGTGCCCTCTGATTGGTGGAACATTATTCCGTCGTGAATTTATCCTCCATAGCCGTCGTCTCGTCTGCGACATCGGCTCTCGGTGTCTCAGCGCGCGAGATGCGTCTGTGCCAGAGGACTACATCGGAGAGCATGAGCGGGCTCAAGGGTTTTTATATTCAAGTGTAAAAGGTCGCCTGATGCTGAATGCATTTACCCGCAGTCCTGCAGCTGACCCCGAGTCGAGCTGGAGTAGCTTGGTGCTTCGGCCCCGCCCCGCGCTCGCCCGAGATGCCGTCCAGGTACGTACGTACACGGAATATTGGACCCCTCAATGCCCCTCCATGGCTATTTGTGACAATGTTCCGTCGGGTGAACAAGTTATAAACCGACGCGGCTCCTACTTGCTTCCCACCGCTAACTGTTTGATTTTATGCTTTATTTTGTTTCCAATATCACCTGCCGCCTAGTCCTGTATTCTATAGAGTATTTAAGTTTTATCAATCACGTAGAAGATACTCGAAATGCCGGCAAGACGCTCTTTACCCGTGGGCATATACGCCCCAACCATGACCTTCTTCGACCCTGAAACCGAAGATGTCGACATCCCGACGATCAAGAAGCACGCCCAGCGCCTTATCCGCGATGGCCTGGTAGGTCTCGTCACCATGGGCTCAAACGGTGAAGCCGTCCACTGCACCAGAGAAGAGAAGCTAGCCGTCACAAAGGCCACCCGCGAGGCCCTCGACGAGGCTGGCTTCACCTCGACGCCCATCATTCTGGGTGCCACCGAGGGCAGCGTTAGAGGGACAGTCGAATTGAGCAAGCTGGCTGCGGAAGCCGGCGCCGATTACACCCTCTTGCTGCCCCCGTCTTATTACCGCGCCCAGACCGACGAGGAGTCCATCGTCGACTATTTCACTGCTGTGGCAGACGCCAGTCCTCTCCCCGTCATCATCTACAACTACCCCGGCGCCGTGTCCGGAATTGACCTGGACAGCGACGTCCTCATAAAGCTGGGGCAGCATCCCAATATTGTCGGCACAAAGTTCACTTGCGGCAACACTGGCAAGTTGACCCGTGTGGCCCTCGGCACCAACGCCAAGACCCCCTTCCAGGAGGGCTCAGGATACATGGCGTTTGGCGGCATGTGTGACTTCACCCTTCAGACTCTGGCTAGCGGCGGTAGCGGCATCATTGCCGGCGGCGCCAATGTCATGCCCAAGGTCTGCGCTCGTGTGTGGAACTTGTATGCGGAGGGGAAGAAGGACGAAGCCCAGGCCCTGCAGAAGATTCTGAGCCGCGGCGATTGGCCTCTGACTAAGGCTGCTATTGCCGGGACGAAGCAGGCTATTCAGATGCATTTCGGCTATGGAGGGTACCCGCGGCGGCCGTTGAAGCGATTGGACGAGGCCAGACTAAAGGCCATTGAGGAGGGTATTCGGGAGGTGATGGAGATTGAAAAGTCGTTGTAAACCTTTGCAATAGCAACAAAAGATGGGCTTGCCAGCCGTCACCGTTTATTGTGCTATGCCTCTCAAGCGGTCCGCCCAGACGCTGATACTTTCGGTATTCTCATGAAATGATGAACTGTCGCTTTATTTGTGAAAGTAGTTTCGCATATCTTGAACAATCTTGCCTTTTAGAACCGTGACCATCTCCAGAAATACACACATGAGCGACCACATGGCCGCGGCCGTATTTCTCCTTTCCACGCGAACCACCTCGTGAGCGGCATAGATGACCGTCTTGCCAGAGTCGGCCGTATTGGTCACTCTAGTCAGATTTTTCTAGATATGTGCAATTATGAAATCGGCCAGGTAGATCTGATGGTTCTTGACAATGATATTCTGCGGCTTGATGTCGCGGTGCCGCATTTTGGAATCGTGCAAATACTGAACTGCGCTCACAAGATAGCCAAAGAACCCCCTGAGCAGGGACAATTTGTCTGTCGCATTATGGTATTGGTCATAGTATTGTGAAAAGTTGTAATCTCCTACCGGCTGCATGATTAAAGCAAAATACTTGGGGTCTGAGTACTTGCCGACCTTGAGTGTGGTTAGTCGTTGGAACTCGTAGAGAAGAGGCTTTACGTACCAACGACACGCAATGCTGGTGGTCCAGTTGACTCAATACATCCAGCTTGAAGAAGTAGACAAATTTCTGTTTTCCTTTCTCAAGTTGAAATGCCTTGGGCTGAATAAAGGCTACAGATTGTGCGTCGATAATTCGGATTGTACTGAGGGCTGCAACGCAGCAGGCAGTGTGCTCAGCGTTGGTGTAGGCCTCTGCAATGTCGAAAAGCATCAATTAATGTCTGTGTGCTCCTTGTGCTCTCTCAAGGGGTCTTCAGGCTCAATCTCCTCGACAGGCTTGCCGCTCTCTATGCTTTGATGCTTGAGCCTAATTTGCCGTACTCCCGTTTCCGCCACTTCAAGCTCTGTTATCCCTGTTAACATGGCGGCCTGAACGGCCAAGCCTCGAAATGCGGCTTTGTCCTAGTTGTGATAGCTGATCCGAGTCTTGGGGAAGTGTTCTGCCAAAAGTGTCTGCAGCATCGATATCAAAGATGACGCTCCGAAAACGAATACTCGACTCAAGCCCTTCTTGGAAACCTTTCCATAACCCAGGGCTTCGTCTGTAGCTGCAAGGCAATAACGAAATAAGCCTGAACACAGGCTCTCGAATTTCGCCTTGGTTGTAGAAGCGGTAAAATCGAGGCCATCGTCGAATGATTCCAGTTCAATATTGTATGTCTGACTGAACGACGGCGCCAACGTCCAAGCCGAGGAGCCTGTACTCCGTGTTAGGGCGAGCTATTTCCATGTTGGCTGCAATTAGAAGCCCGTACGGGTCTGCTAAAAGTTCAAGCACGGATATTCCCGCAATCTCGACAGCGTCTATTACTTCGTTTCGCTGTTCGGTATTGAAGCTGGCGGGTATACTGATTACGGCACTGGTAACTGTGCCTCCCAAGTGAGCCTCCACCTTCGTCTTCGACCGGGAAAGCAGCATAGCAAAGAGAGATTCAGTTTTAAAATCCACAATTTCTCCTTTGTGCTTGACCCTAGCAATGGGATCTTGAGGTCGATCCGTCCACTGGTGCTGAAAGGGTAGGGCTTCGACGTGAGTCCGATGAACCGCATAACGGCCATATCGCGACGCCAGAAATGGTTTCATATTGCATATCGTGCTTTCCGGATCAGCAGACACTTTCCGCAGCGCTTCGCTGCCGATCAAGTGTCGTCCAAGGGAATCGTTTCGATTTGCCTTGTGGCTTCGCGGTAGACTGCCGCACTTATGTTGGCAGTGTCCAAGTGGATGCCGATGGCCCATTTCTTGTCGTCTTCATTTTCCATGCTCAGACCGGCGTTTAGCATCGGTTGGCGGTTTTTGCTTCATCAGACAATCCAAACACCTAAAGGCAAACCGGGGAAACCTGTGTTGGACTGACGTATCAGCGCCGTCAGCCAGCAACTCCTCAAATAGTCAAGAGGTATGGTGCCTTGTGTACTGCACCTCACGGAATGTAGGATAGTATGAAATGAAAGCGGGAATAAGGCTGATGAAGAAGATAGCTCGTGTGCAGAGACGAGCACCCTGTGCATGGTCAGCCGCACAACCCACGCTCATGCAGGCTGATGTTCCAGACCACAGGGGCAGAATCGCCGTGGGCAGACTATTCCACATACACATTCCTTGTTCTGGACGTGGATGTCTCGAAAAAAAAAAGTGACGTTGAATTCTCAATTCTGTCCGAAATGGCAGACCCTCCAAGTGTCGCCGGTCTAGCGCTGAGCATTGCCTCGCTTACATTCGAGCTCTTCTCAGGTTGGGAGAAAAGGACAAGAGAGTCGAGAGCCGGTTCTGACAGCCGGTTGCGTACAAGCCCCTGTTAGAAGCAAACAATATGCCTGGAGAATACCGCCATTTACTCGTTCGACTGCAGATGGAAAAGGAGTAGCTTCTCGGTTGGGCTGTTTTGGCGAGGGTATCAGAGAGTGAGGAATCGGTTCATCACACTCCTCGATGAAGCAGGCATACTATCCACAATGCATTTCGCGGAATGCAGATATTGTTTCTGAAGCACAAGTACAACCTGCAGCTTCAAAGCCGCCAATCTCGGTGGTCTGTCGGACCAGTCAGACAACACCTGGCCAGCGAGCCATCCACATGACAGGATTCAAGGCTTATAAACCTTTCAATCGAGGCCGATAAACCCCTGGATGGCCAAAATGTGATCCAGGACGGCGCATTGTTGGACTATTCCAATCTAAATCTCGTGCTGCACCCTTCACAAGCAGATGACCAAGACCAGCTACCCAGGTCGCTGGGGACTTTTGCACAAACGCCTGTCTGGATCGAATGGAGATACTGCCAGCCCGTGCACCGGCATCGGTCCAGAGACGCATCTCCAAGATGGCCCAGCCGTTGTGCGATCCCGAGAGACCCCGCGAATTCCATATCCCAACTTGTTTAGAGTTTGTCCAAGATGGGAAATAGACCCGACTCGTCTTCGTATTCGAAAATCAGTCGAGGATCCATCAGTGCCTATGCGCCTTTCCGATGCCCCGAGCACAAAAATGAAACCGTCTTTGACCACCAGGGTCCAGATGGCATCTCCATTCAACTCAATGGCTTCACAAGGGACTTCGAAGTAAGTATATCGTGTCTAGTGATGGTGAGTGTGGGCTTATCTCACCAGCATTGTGTGCCTTCGACTACTCACGGCCAGCTGACCGGGACGAGACAACCGAGAGACCGTTGGAGAATCCGTGGTTCGACCTGTACTGCCATCCCAAGATGCAGTTCAACGGGCTGCGAGAAGGGCGAAATGGATTCCAAAAATCGTACAATGTCTACAGTTTGGGAGTTGTCCTGTACGAGCTCGCAGTGTGGAAGCCGATTCATATCGTGTTGGGGTTGGATCGGAAGCAACGGCCCAGGGCTGCGGCGGCGAAGGGTGTCAAGACACAACATCTATCCCACAAGGCATATCCACACTTAAATCAGAGGCTGGTGACGTGTTTGCGGGCATTGTCAAGTTTTGTCTTGTCCATCTGCTGAGGCGGTTGACGACCAGACTTTGCAGCTGGAGTTTTAGGAGAACGTGGTGACGGTATCTGATGGTATCTTGGCATAGTCATTGCTGTTGTTTAGGAGATGCCAAGGCATCGTCATTTAAAGTAGGCATTATGATCTCAATTTTCATCATATTAACTAACCTCAACGAAGCCCATTTGTGCATGTTAACCCTTTAATATACATATGCTTTGCGATATCGTACTCCCCACTGCCCAAGAATGCTTGACGGACTTGAATATTACTCATATCCTGCCCCCCGTTTCCATGGACTGATTGCTGGTGTTAGCGGGCATAGATTCAACTAGGTCCGGTGGAAACTCACCTTGAATTGTTTACCTGCCGGTAAGACGGCGGTGCGCCTCCATACGGTCCAACGCTGGGAGTAGGAGACGGGGTTCGGAATGGACTTTGCTCCCTGCTGGACGGGAACAGCGGCATAGACGGGTTTACCGGTGAAGACGGGCTAGCAGATCGGTTGCCGCCATGCATCGGATGAAGATGCCCGTCATCTTCCAAGTCCAGCTGCGCCTTGTATCCTCCTTTGTCACCACGGGCCGTGGCAGCCAAGGCGTCCAGTTCGGTGGTGGTTGTCAGATGAGTCTGTGATCGCATAAACGAAGCACGATCATCAGCCATGTACTGATAGCGCGCGTCTGGATTTTTCCGGAAGAAGGTAAAGATCGTGGAAATAATGACCATAAGTAGCAGAATCAATGAAAACGCAGCATTAAGAACGAAAAATACAACGCCCACGGCGCCAATAACAATACCCGGTGCACCGAAAACGTCGGAGAAGATCAGCAAGCAAATTGCATTTACAAAATTTACCGCATAGATGCCGATGTTGAACGAATTGGTCGACTTATCCATCCAGGGACGCAGGACAGCACATGCAATAAGAGCAGCTAGTTCAAGGATGAGGAAGCCGATTGCCTGTGCAAGGCCAGCTTTTTGCGCAAAGGCGACAAACATGGCCTTGATTAGGATATAACCGAGGACCGGGACAATAAAGTAATAGGCCGAGGCACGGAATTGGATATATAGAAATCCCCATTTGTTTAAGGCTTGCGGATCGGAGAAGAGAATATAGGCCGGATTTCTATGCATGGTAATTGACCGACGCGCAATTCGAATGACCTTACTAGAACCCCAACCGAGAATGACGGAAACAGCGGCAAAGAAGACCACGGCCAAGATTGCCAATGCTGGCGAATCGATTTGTGTCAGTTCCCACAGGCAAAGAATGGCAATCTGCGGGTAGCCAATAAGGCACACGCGGAACATGATGCCCTTGAGAATAATACGCCAGCCGTTTCGAAATTCCAGAAACTTGTCCTTGGATACGAGGCCTCTTGATGCAAACAACTCGAGAATTCCCTTGAATGCGACAACACCGATGGCGGTGACGATGACGAACAAGGAGAACCAGACTAGACCCGTGAGGAAGAGGTTAGTCGACTCAATTTTGGCTCGGAATGCCACACGTTGGATGCCAAAGACCAAGTAGGACCCCGAATCATTTGTGATGTTTCCTGCACGCTTCAGGATGAGCGCCGCCGTACTAGACACACTTTCGGGAAGCATGGAGAGACCACGTTTAGCGAGTGACTCGGCGGCTTCGGCTACGTCTAGACCACGTTTCTCAACCTGAACAGAGATGGTCTTCAGAGTAGAAAAGAGGCTTGACGGCGTCCCACCGGTGGCACGTTGGTACCAAGTAAATATCTTCTGCATCCAGCTAAGGTGGATGATTCCCATGGACCACTGAAAGTTTTGGGTCCAGGCTTGCACGATCGGAGGGAGGCGGAGGCCAGTCAGTCCAACAATGGCCTGGGCCTGAAAGTACCCAAACAAGGAGAGTGAATTAGCAGCAACATGAGCAGCAGTGTTTAGATGGCCCAGTCCGCTCACGGCCGCGGACGACAAGAGGGCCAAGCCGGCGATGATGGCCGTCGCCCACTTGACGCCCTTGAGATCGACGGTTTTCCCGTTGGAAATCCTAGCCTCGACACAGGCGATTTGATCCTTGGTGTCAATCAGGACCATCTTTACGCGCACCATCGCGTCCAAATCGGGAATGCCAAAGGCAATGCCGGGGACGTCCTTGGTGCTTTCGGCAGGGACAGGAATGGTCCAGGTAAACTTGGTCTTGCCTGCCACCATGGGGCAGATACCCTCCAATCCCTTCTTCCCGCATGGATTAAAGTCGGTTTCGATGATTT